ATAGCAGGAGTATGATGGACCAGGTGAGAAAATAATAAAAATAATGAACAGCCATATACCAGCGACATTTTGTGGGGGTGGAGTGGGGGATGGGATCAAAAATGGGGAGGTGAGGAGGGAAGTGCACGGGACTATGGTGATGGCACACAGGTGACTTGGTGATGGGAAACCCATGGGGATTACAATTGAGATTAAAAAAAATGTACAAAATGATGTAAAAATAAACTATTATTAAAAAAAAAAAAAAAGAAGAAGGACGCCCTCCCTGGTGGCACAATGGGTTAAGATGCAGCACTGCAAGCTAGAGCAGCCACTTCAGTGAGAGTTCAAGTCCCCACCCTGGAGGTTATCCACATGGCTGGCAAACCTCTCCTGCCCCGCCTGCTGCTCCCCTCAGCAGTATACTTCCTCGATTTGTTCCCCAATCTGTATCTAGTGAAGCCTCTTTCTGCCCCTGCACTTCTGGCTTGTACCCCAGTTCTGTATGAATAAATAAATAAATCTTAAAAAAAATTAAGAAGTAATGGCAGGATGAAGGTTATATTGGAAGTTTTTAGTTTGGAAAGATGAAGGCTGAGATAAAAGGCCATGGCAAAATTTGTTTTGAAAAGGATACATATTCACTAATTCCCAGCACAGTAGAATTTTTAGGCATTCTCTGATTCAAATAAATAAAAGCAATGATTTAATTATTTTTAAGAAATCAGTCATCTCCAAGAAATGATACAAGCTGAGTAACAGAAACAGCTTTTAAAAAGTGCCTACAGGACCCTCCCTGGTGTCGCAGCAGGTTAAAGCACAGCACTAAGAAGCTAAAGCCACTTCAGCATGAGTCTGATCCCCACCCCGGTGGTGGTGATCCACATGGTGCAGCAGACCTCTCCTGACCCGCCCGCTGCTCCCCTCAGCAGTGTACTTTGTAGATCTGCCTGTTCTGCTCCCCACTCTGTCATGGGTGAAGCCTCTCACCGACCCTGCACCTCTGGCCTGCACCCAGTTCTGTATGCATAAATAAATACATCTTTAAAAAAAAAAAAAAAGGACCTGGCCCTCCCTGGTGGCGCAGCGGGTTAAAGCACAGCACTGAGAATCTAAAGCCGCTTCCGCATGAGTTCGATTCCCGCCTGCCCCGGAGGTGACCACATGGTGGGCAGACCTCTCCTGACCCACCCGCTGCTCCCCCCAGCAGTGTACTTCGTCGATCTGCCTGTTCTGTTCCCCATTCTGTCTCTGGTGAGGCCTCTCACCGCCCCTGAGCCTCTGGCCTGTACCCCAGTTCTGTATGCACAAATAAATAAATAAAATCTTAAAAAAAAAAAAAAAAAGTACCTACAGATGTACACTCATAAAGACTATTGTCTTGACTTCGTTAGCTGATGTCAGCAAAAACATTGTGATTATTTAAATATATTACACAGCAAGATGTTTCTTCTGAAATTTCCTCACTAATACATTTATTTTTGAAATTATCTCTTTAATACAAGTCATGTTTGCTTTTACATGAACCTATCTATTCATTTGATGGAATCAACAAAGCGCTTGTTTAATATTTTTAATGGTAATCTGGCACTACAGTCATGCGTCACTTAATGACACTGCAGTAAATAACGGGCCACATATATGACAGTGGTTCCAACAAGCAACACCTTATAGTCTTGTGGATTTATACTTTATGGCGTTCACACAACGAACTGCCTAATCACACATATCTCAAAAATACCCCAACATTAGGCAGCACATGACTACTATCAAGGTGAAAAAGCATATACACCCTTCATTTATATCACTTACAGGGACTTAATTATATCAACGCAAGTATAAAAAGAAGGCTCACTGTAACAGTAAAAGAATGGAAACAATCTAAACAAATAATAACAGTCAATTAAAACATTACAAGGATACTATATAGCTACTGAAAAAAAAAATGAGGTCAATCTATATACATAAGGGCCTCCCTGGTGGCACAAGGGGTTAAGACACAGCACTTATAAAGCTATCCACAGCCACTGCAACGCAAGTTCCAACCCCAGACAGGGAGCTAACCCACATAGCTCTCGTAACTCTGTCTCACCCTGCTGCTCCCCTCAGCAGTGTACTTCGTAGATCTGCCTGTTCTGCTCCCCACTCTGACTCTAGTGAATCCTTTCACCTCCCCTGTATCTCTGGCCTACAACCCAGCTCTTGTATGCATAAATAAATCAATCTTTAAAAAATAGTCTATATATAGTCTATTGATATGAAAAGTTCAGCAGATATATCAAGGGGAAAACACAATGCAGAATATCATATATAGAATCCTTCCACTGAGTAAACAGTATTTTAATATAAGTGTGCATTATAATATACATATATCAATCACATGCTGAACTGATTCTGCAAACACATCTAAGGTTCAGATTCAAAAGGTTGGGCTGAAGAAGTAAAAAGTATGTTATAAAAGCTCCCAAGATTCTAACGAATGAGTATGTTAAGCTTAGACCAAGGTAGCAAAAGAAACATTACAGTAACAACAAAACTGGGAAAATGAGATTATTTTCAGAGTCAAGTGCTCACTGATAATCTTCAGAGGAAAAATTTTAGTAGATTAGTGAATACAAAGTCAGTAAGGAACATGTTCAGTGAAAGCAAGTACAATGGAATACAGTGTGAAGGGAAGTTTTTTCAAACCTTTTGAAAATCCATTCTGCCAATCTGTCTTTTGACTCAAGAGCTTAATATATTTAATTATTTAAAGGATTTTACATTGCCATTTTGTTAATTGCTCTCTGTATATCTTAGAGCTCTTTATGTTCCTCATTTCTTCCCAGCAAACACAGATATATATTTAAAGAAGTCTGAAGAAAGGGCAAATCAGAGAAGGAATAAGAAACTAAAAGGAAACACATTCCAGTATTCTAAATACTGATCAAGAGAAAATGAAGATATGGTAATAGGGCATGCTAACAGAAAGGGTAGTAAGCAGGCAGAAAAGAGGGGTTCCGTTCCATGCAGAGTCTGGAAATAGACATCTTTCACTGCAAAGGGGGAGTAGGATGAAAATAAATGCCGTGTTCCTCTAGTGGAGCTCCCTAATTCCTCATTTGAGGTACTTATACTCCTTTCTAGTAATCCATTTTCTTTCAAGATTCATCCACAAAGAGTAGCAATGTTCAACACAAAAAAGAGATACTACAGGCAAGGGAGTATTAAGAAGAAAAAGGATCACTTACTAGGTACTTTCATACCAGAGACAAAGAAAATTTCTGGAAATTTGGTTAGTATATATTAAACTATTAAATATGCCTTCTAACAAAAGATTTCACTTTCTATGAATTTATCTTATGGAAATAATTACAAAAAGTTTGTCAATACATTTTATACAACTACAAAAAAGAGAATACAAATATTTTTCAATATAGGAATAACTAAATAAATAAAAAGTTCACCTCTATAGTGACATAGTAAGTGTTCTTAACACTAAGCAGTAAGTAGATAGGCACAGTGGGAGATATACAAAATATTATTTTAAAGAAAAAAACAATGCAAAATGGTTTTAAGTATTTAAATTATTGTATGACCCAATTTTTGGTATACACACACATACAGAGAAAGATCTGAAGAGAGATATGCTAAGAGTAGTTGTCTCTGGGTACTGGGTTCTTCTATTTTCTAGTATGGATACAAGTAGAAAGAAAATTTCAACTTGTGGAAAAAGAGCAATCAAATATGGAATAAATAACCAAATAAACATATTACCTGTTTGATAAAATAAACAATTCTTTTAAACTCGGAGCCATGGAATGATCTTTATAATTTTCTGGAGAGAAAAATGTCTTAAGGCCATTTTTGGGGGAAACATCCCTGTGAAACAAAATAATTTACTTGCATTTAACAATTCAAAATCTCATGCCAGATTAAGCATCATCATGACACAGCTATAATTTATATCTACAAACCCTCTCCTTCCCCCTTTCCAGTTAATCAGCCCTTACTAGTGTTTATTTCATACACCAGAGGTATGAGTTTAGATGTTTTATTTCTTGGATAGCTTTTAGGAAGGCCCACTCTGATACTCATCAGTTTGCACAAGCAGCCTGGCATTTTTCTTTCATAGCTAATTAAATGACAGACACATTTAAGAGTTAAACATAGAACATATTGAAGTATAAAAAGGAGTCTGTCAGGACTAGGGTTTACCTCTATCTCTGTGGCACCGAGATGCTTGATTGCTAAATGAGAACATCTCAACTTATTTTTGTTTCATGCACAATTTGCCAAGTGAAAAGACACAGCAAAAGATGGACTATTTTGTTAATTTGTTAATTTAGCAAATATGATAAATGGTATGCATTTGTACAAACCCTTTCTCAGGTCATGTATGGTTTTCCATTAACATCATAATTAATTTAGAGACTAATAAATTATAGACAAATAATTTCTATTACAGTAAAAAGGCAATAAGTGGTGGTTAAATTAAAGAATTTAAATATACAACACTGTGAGCCATTAATTTAGGAAGGACAAAGACTATCAGGTCTCTGGAATAAGGCAGATCCAAGGGCTACACCACTATGCAAAGGCTCTGAAACACATTTGTTATGGGCACAGAAGAGCATCTGCACTGCACCTGAACACATACTTTATGGCAAGAAACAAATACACATACTTTATAAAACCTGCAAATGGAGCAATTTAAACAAATGGTTACTTCTAACTGGACCAGCACCAAAATGGAAAATTTTAGCATATTTGCATGATACTCATTTTTAAAGTGGTGTTTATCAAAAAAACTTTTAAGTATACATAGTAAAATGTGGATGTTGTACTTGGTATACACCAGTGTATTTCCTTATTACTTGTTATAGTACTGTTTCTGTGACATCTATTTAAATTCTCAGGTTTTTGCACATCATACAAAAAATGTACAAGACCTCAAGGCAACAATGTTCAAAGGAGCACTGTTTGCAATAAATGAGTACTTCTTGAGCACATACTGATTCTTTGAATTAGGCATTTCATAATCTTTGTACTCTCTTCTGACTTTTGTAGCATAGAGTAGATGCTCAGTAAATCTGTTAAACTGACCTAAAGCAGCATGCGCTTTAGTTCTCTAAAGTACATACTTAATAGAGTCCTCTATTTGTAAAGCTCTACAACACTTCTGAACAAACACCCTCTACAATAAGAAAGAGGTTTGTCTGTTTTTAAACAAGCTCTTTTAATTACTTCTATAGAAATGGGCAAGGTTCTTAGACACAAAAAATTGCCGATATCCATCTTTAAGAGGCCAACAATAAACACAAGATGGAATTATACACCTAGTAACAATTTGAATGTGGAATTGACTTTAGGAAATGTTTTCAGCTGTATTTAGTCAGGCTCAGGATGTGAAAATGACAGGGTAAATTGTGACCCTAAATTTATATGTTCTTTCTCTTTTTCTCCAAATCTCTCCAGGCCAGAAACTTCCTTTCCAAATCTGGCTAGTAACCTCTTTCAATCCTCATTAGGGAACTTCAAATAGATGTAACTCACCAGTTCAGCCTTGGTTCACCCATGGCCATCACAGAATTTATATTCCTAGATTGCGGCTTCACTTTAGCTTACAATTCTGGTGCCTGGCTCTGGTACAGACTTCAACTGGCAGGATTTCTCCAGGATCTAGCTCAACTAGAGGGAAAACAAAAGGCCAAAATCAACTCCCCTAAATTAACACCTGTCCTCAATTAACACGAACACTTAAATGGACAAAGGAATATTCTCACGGTTCTTGACAATAGAGCAGCAATGCTCAAGTAGGATGAGACCTCCTCCATTTAACTTACCCGAGGAATGCCACTATCAAGACACTGAGAAATCAGCGCCCAAACAGAACGTGTTCTCACTGCTTACAAACTAGACCTCTTAGAGCATGGAGCTGTATGTGTTAAGTCTGCTTTTCTCCACTCCCTCACTGTCCATTTTCATCTTGCTTCAGTTGTCCCAACCATACACAGTTATGGGACAGATTTTGACAAACAACGCCAGACAAAAGCTATTTCAAGGTTGTCAAGAAAGAGAACCTCCTAGCTGAGGAATTTGAGGTTTAACCAACCAGCGTGGCCATTTCACAGCACCTCTTGGCGGAATCACCCGAGGCCACACAGCTGGTGTGGCCACTCAGGGCTTCTCCACCCAAACTGACTTAGTGGAATGTGATAAAAGCAGCAGTGAACTTTAGGAGTCGGTGTGTCGGTCCCGAACCGCTCCGGGTTAATTCAACCCACACCTCGACCCAGTGCGAGGGAGGAAATGCAGAGTGGCGGGAGGCAAAATAAGTGACTGAGGGAAGAGGAGGAAAGGAGACGAGAAAACAGGGCTCCAGGAAGGAAGGTCAACAGGCAAGCAAAGCCGGGGGAGGGGCAGCGCCTTAGCCGGGAGCGGCGCGTCCTGGAGGGGACTCGGCCGCCACACTCCCTTCCCCCGCCCCTTTCTAGCGTGCTCGCCTGCTGGGCAGCACCCTCCCCTAGCGCGTCTCCGCGGCAAAGCAGCCTTTCTGCCCACCTCGTGGTCAGCAGCGGCTCAGGCCGGGGCCGTAACCCATCTGCACACACTCTCCATCCCACTCCTTACACTCGCGCGCGTCCTGAGGCCTATTTAAAGGACCTAGCGCGCAACCTCGGCTCTGCGTGATGACGTTTCAGCGACGCCGTGGGCGGGGCCTCTCTAAAGGAGCCGCCCCATCTTAAGCCACCGCGCCGCTCACTAAGTCTTGGTCTGCCAGGTCCGGGCCCCTTGGCTTGCAGGGCGGAAGGGCCACATGTCTGTGTGTTACCTTAAAAAGTTTTCGACTTGGCTGTGGGTGATTAAACTACATGTTGGTTAGGCGACAAATCCGGTACTGGGAAGTTCCTAGTAGTTAGTTGTGACTGAAGGCAAGTGTCTCTTCTCCCCTATCCTGATGACTCAGGGGAATGGATATATTTCATTAGCAATTCCTTGGGGTTTTGAAAATATTAATGTAATGAGATTGGGGCCCTTCTTGGTGGTGCAAGAGGTTACAGCCCAGCACTATGAAGCTATCTGCAGCCACTGTAGCTGATCCCCAGGTAGCTGACCCACATCAGACCTCTTTTGTCCCACCGGGCTCCCCCACTCAGCAGTGTTATTTAGGTCAGTTCACCTGTTCTGCTTATATTCTGTCTCTGGTGAATCCTCTCACCCCTTTCCCACCTCTGACCCGCACCCCAGTTCTTGTATGCATAAATAAATAAATCTTTAAAAAACTAAATAAATGTAACAAGATTAAAATGCATTAAGGAAAAACATGTAATAAGGGGGTATACTGCATTCAGTACAGTTATCTGGTGCGCAGGCGCAGCTGTACTTCATCCCTATTCCATTCTATTTTTCTGTTTCTACCAGCTGATTGGAGCGCACATTAGTTTTAATCTCATTCATTACGGAAAGATTTATTCAGCACTTAAGTTTCGTGGTTAGCGCAAGGAACACATTGGCCTAAGAATAAATAACACGTTTTCCCAGGGGTTTTGCTTGCTGGGAATATAAGACAATGACATTAAATATTTCTAAGTCAAAATACAAGCTACATAAAAGTATATAGGAAAAATTGTAAAATTCAGAAGGGAAGAGAAATTACTACTGTGAGGGACAGAAAGCTGCCTTGAGTAGCTAATAACATATATTGAGTACTTATATGTCAGTTACAACTTTGGGCACTTCACCTATCAGTTCATTTGAAGAATCTGAAGTATGTGGGTAATGGGAAAGAACAACACATGGAGCTGCATAAAACTATAACATGAAGACGCCAGTTTGTGTGCTAACAAGAAAGTGTTTTCTACTTAGAGTGATTTATGTTTTAGAATTATGTTTACCTCTATTGAAAATCTTCAAATCCAGGTACTTTATTTTGCCTGGACGGCAAGGCCTATGGAGTGTAGTAGAAGACAAAAGAGTTTAGAAAAATAGGTTGAGAACAGACCTTTAAAATGAGAAGGAATTTTGACTTTATTGTATAAGAAATGGAATGCTGAGGGGACACAGAAGCATCTCTGCAGAAAGCGCACAATCAGAGCTTCTTCGTTTCAGGAAAGCCTGCCTTTGTGTTGAGGCAGTTGTAGGGACAAGGACGGATCAGAGACACTGCTTGTGAATGCTTATAAATCAGCTGGGGAAATCCCTGGCACTGGACAGATAACATTTATTAGGTGAGTAGTGTTGACAACCTTTACTAGCAAAGAGATGGACATCAAGGCAGTGTAGAAGTTCAGTTGTTTGGTGCTTTCCCACAAAACATGCAATCAGAGAGAGTTGGGAGTCCTATCATCGTCGTCAGCAACTGCTCAAGAATTGCTTAAGCACTCATGTTGTTTGGATGCTCCAGCCCCATAGTGCAGAATGGAAACATCGCCAGGCAGGCTCTGTTGAGATTCCAGATTATCATCAAACAGTATCCTCTGGTGTGCAGGTCATCTGATTGAGTTCTCCTGTTTACCTGAGAATGTGACTTGGACCCAGATCGTCAAGTGACTTTTCTAACATTACATGATCAGTGCTAAAGCTGATGGCGGGTTTCATAAAGTCTCCATTTTAATATGTTAACTTTATGCAGCTTTCTGTTTTATGCTTTATATTGTAAATCAGAAGCAGTTTAGTGAAAATATTAGTTACTGCTTTATTGTTGAATAGCTGCCCATTTACAGATATACCTGTTTTGTTTATCCATTCAACAGTTGATGGACATCAGAGGGTTTCTATTTTTTGGCTCCTGTGAATAATGTTGCTATGAGCACTTGCATAACAAGGCTGTGTTGAACTTTGTGCTGTCATTTCTCCTGAGTAGACTCTAGAAGTGGACTTGGATTGAATGATAACATACTTACAAACACTTTCCCAAAGTGATTGTGCTATGTTATTGTGGGCTTTTAAGCAGGAGAAAGACTTGGCTTTTTCATTTTTGCTAAAATGAGAAACAAACTAAAAAATTGAATGAAAGGTAATATTGATTTGAAAAGCTTACAGTACTTATTCTGTTTGGTCCCAAATTTCAAAATGAACTTAAAACTCCAAGCACCTATGTAAGTTTATGTTCTAGTTGGTACTAATTATGCATTCTTCGGCCTCAAATCAAGGCAGAGAAATGTGTATGCATGATCTTTTAAATTCTTTTTTTTAGTATCAGTATCATAATTTTCCTAACTTCAGCTAATGTACTTCCTTTGCATGACTCGGAGTGAACTTGGTCTTGGAGAGTTTATAGTTTGGTAAGTACTTCATTCAGGGAAATGTTTCATGAATTTATAGTCATTTTTAAGGTCCTTTCAAAAGGCGAATCCAGAAATAGTCCTCTAGCAAAGAGGTTTCAATCTAGTAATTGATTCAGAAACTATTGGGGGAATAACTGCCAATAACAGTTTGTTTAAATTAGGCTTTTCAGCAATAAATGCTATTTTAAATGGGGAGGAAATGATCTTTAATCTTGAAAACTAGCTCAATCTTCTGGCCCAGGGTACGTTGTATTAGAACAGAAAATGGTTAAAATGTTCAAATTTTCTATTCTAGAATATTTTTTCATATATATTTTGTTGTGTTCTGTAAAAACATGGTCCCTGGGCTTAAAAAAAAAAGGGGGCTCAGAAATAACTGTTCATCTCAATGCCTGTCTTTTATAGGCAGCATCTATTCCGGAGAGAAAGACTGATGTTAGCAAAGTAATTCCAAGTAGAATAATTATATGTATTTAGAATATAATGTGTATTTATTTTATTGGAGGGGTAAAGAAAGAATGGTAAAAAGAGTGAGTCTTTTTCAGAGGTTACTATTACAACTTTGGTAAAGCTTATAATAATTTTTTCTAAGCATAGGACCAAGATAAAGCAGCTTCTTCCTCCCAGAGAAGTTATCATCCTGGAACTAAACATATTATTTGAAGTCTATCAAGTGGATAAACAACAATTGGATGGCTAAGACATGACTATATTTAACTGCAGTCAATAATTCCTCTCCCAAAGAGGGGGGGGGGCGGAAACCAGATTCAAAGTAAATGCTCAAATACTAGTTTGTTTTCTCTTTGCAAATCAGAGATAAGTGATATTAAGGGGCAAAAAAAACCAAATAGGCTTTTCCTCGGCTTACAAGTAGTAGGCAGAGTGAAAAAAAATAGTGTCTGTTAATCTCCTAGCAAGAATCTTCATGCGACTCTTCTGGAATCTAGGAGGGTTCTCTTGATAAAAATTTTCTCTTTGCTCCCATCACCGTGAAATCCCTTAAACATGAAGGCATCATTCTATTCTTCCTATCTTGGGTGACTTAGCTGCCATTCATGGCCTCATTTGGATCATGGGTTTGAGCACCACTGGTCCACAGCTTCAGTTTCTTGTTCAAAACAAACCAAGATGCTGAGCTCCATCTAGCATATAGGTAGTTACGTGAACATGGCTAGGTTTTTCATAGATCATGAGAAGCAGAGATCTGTTCTGACCTAGCTCACTTGATCCAAATGCACATAAGAAATTAAAGTCTAAGGGGCTAGATTGTTCTATTTTTGCCTTATGAGATAAACTTAGTAGTAACAGAACAATGAAGACATACTTGTGGTCAGGCCTTACTCTCTGATCTGTCACTATGACTTATGTTTTCTTACCAGTAGTTCATTAATAACCTGGTGCTTGCTTTCCTTTCTCCCACCAGACCATTATAAACAGGATCCTAAGATATCCTCCTAATGCTCCTGTTTAAAGAAGAGTAAGCTAACCCAAAATGGAAAGGTTAGTGTAAACCACTCATTTTATAGGAAGGAATTGGACATAGATTTGGTTAAAGTCTGAGATTACAATGAAAATAATTTTACACCATTAAAATATTGTGATACTCAGCTGATGTTAAATTTATGAGTTCACTTCTTTTATAACCTATCCAAGAGGAGAGGTTGAGGTGGGGTGAGCAATGATAACCTAAGTAATGTCAGATTTTTAAAAGTCTTTGGCATAATTTCTGTCAACTCCATTTTAATGACAAACAATAAAAAGCAAATATGACAAAATCTGGTGTGCATTCAGGGTTTCTACTGTCTAACTCAGAGCAGATATCACTGATCAGCCACACTACCCTTCTTGGAGACAAAAAGCATCCTCAGAATCTTGGTAGCCACTCGCAATAACAGAGGTTATTACACTAATTCAGATTGCTTTCTTTGCTTTCTCTTGATCAGAAGGGTAACTTGTTGCTTGTATACATTCCCCTTCCCCCCACCAAATGAAATGTTTTTTTAAAGTATGCTACTATAAGCTAGTGATTTTAAAACATTAATCTGAAAACCAACTATTCCAGGATCTTATAAAAAATGCAGATTCTGATTTAGTAGGGCTGGGTGGTGCCTGGGATTTTGCATTTCTAGTAAGGGCAAGGCCATAGGTAGGTGTCAGTACCACTGGTCTGTGAACCTCTGAAGACCAGAAGTAAGTTAGAAAACTGTGTTCAGTGCACCCAATAACAGAAAAAAGAAAAACAAGGCAAATGTTCCATTAGAAGCTGAAGTTTTATTATAGGATAACAGTACATAAAGCACATCTAAAATTGATGTGTTCAATGCACTTTTAATAAAGGTAATGTAATAT